ATTGGTATCCAATGGCATAATTCTCATCTCGTTATCAAATCGTGAAATGAAGTGCAAATCACCACACAATAAAGTGCTATTTTTCAAACTTTGTTCTCAGGATAGTGATTGGCACAGGTGCCGTTAAATAAAATACAATGTTTTTACATGCCTTCGGGACATATCATTTTATCATCAGAAGACTGTCGAAATTTGCAGTCGGCTCTTTGACTATATGCACGAAGTCTATGCGATCTTATTCCAGTCAATAGGTCAACGTCTCCTCCGGAGTAATTGTTATTTCAATCCCAGAACGTTGCATGCTTGCATGTGACTAACTTTTCATTCATCCTGATTCAAACCATATACGTTAGTAATTCTCATGGCTAATATTCGCCATTTTGCTCGATTCCATGATTTGTTTGACGAAATTGATGATGCTGATCGTCGATGTTTGTATGGTTCCTTGTGTCCCACAATAGTGTGAATTTGAGTGAGTCAAGACATCAAGAAAATCAAGTGTGAATGCGCATTTTGAGGAACATGGTGAGATCATAGTGAGATAGGTGAGTTGAGTTACCAATATCAAAACTTTCATTGTTCATTATGCATCAGCACACAGTATCCGATTTTTCATGGCTCCGATATATGGCTTCAGTCAGATTTGATCGTTATCCTTCTCAGTGAATATATCTAAAAGTGTTATACTTTATTGTTCCTCTCTTCCATCGAATGACTCAGTAATATTATTCGAATTTTGAGGTTAGATTATACAATATAGAAAAATAGATCTCTCAGGCTCACAATCTTCACATCAGTGACCAAGCTATTCCACACAGTTTGTACATGTGCATTCACGGAAGCTTATAACGGAAGATATCAATGTCCTCAAGTACTGCATTGTTTACAGATTGATGAAATAAACCTCTGGTGTACGCACTTCAATCCTTTCCTGTTTTATAATTCCTTGATTTTCGCCTACTTCGATGAACATAACATGGCGTGGGTGAAGGTCGCTAAATTTAGTCTGATGCCGTACCAAAATTACAGGCATCAATGTGACAATTGTGACCGAATTGTGACCAATGAAGATAGGGAATACATTTTACGATTTAGCCGCATCAAGGTTGGTAGAACTGATGTTGATCATAAGTTCTAAGAATCACGCCATCTAACATTCGATATGTGAACCCCACGTCATCATCTGAAATTCAATTGTTTATATCAAGAACCAGTCTGACGAAACAAATGAAGAGTGAGCGCACCAGAGGTTTATTTCATCAATGTTCACAGGTCAGAACTTATGAAGTTTCCTCGGAATCTGGATAGGTACCTACATTTCTAAAACAAAAAAATGTAAGCACTGAACAATTGCTTAGCAAAAATTTTATTCAAGTTTGTTTTTCATTTGCAGTTTATGTTGAGAAATCACCACCTGTTTTTGTTTGGTTCATTTTATTGAACGATATTTAAGTTTTGTTAACTATCAAGTTGGTAAAAGTAATATATTTAGGACGATACAGTTTTTTGTAGCAGGACTTCAGCAGCTTTAGGAGCTAATTCCAGGTCTTCAGGTCTTCTAGTCATTCATCAAGAGATGTCAAATAGTGTGTAAATAAAGAAAAAATAAGTCAGCAGTGTGATATTCTTTGCATTCATCTCGGAATCCATACAGTTTTCAAGTAAAATATAGGAAAGCAAGAAGAATCCCAATAGAACAGGTGATTCAAATTGATGTTCCATTGGGAGCAGAGACAGCAAGCAGAAAAGTTCAAGAGGGTTGAATTGGATAGAACCTCCAGAAGTGTATCACCTGGCAGTTTATTGAAATTGCCTTATAGCCCCAAATACTGGGTTTCTCAAGTGTAATAACTATATCAAATTTCATTTCCTTATTTTGAAAATTGTAGGAGAAAACTTGACTCCTAGTATATTGGAAACGAAAACGAAAATATGTGTTCTTCAAGCTACAATGGTACGAAAAACTGACTCATCCTGTATATTCTTCAATTTCTAATCTGAATTTCACTTCAAATTATTCAATCAAAAGTATTTCGAATCATTGAGAATTCGAAAATTCTCAAATTTATATACTTACAGGGTGTTTCATTTTGATGTTGTATGAATCTACTTTTCACTTCTAGAAACATATGAAGAGGAAATTCTAAATACATTACTGTTCCATTATAATAACTCCTAACTCTCTGGCTGTGAGAAAGCAGTTTCTACACTGAGGAAAATATTAATGAACCATAGTTCGAAATCGAATTATCCCAGCAAGAAACTCTCAAGCCTTGCTGCCACTAGCGAGGGGATCTGCATATGGTTATTAGCGATATTTTTGTAGCAGGTATCTGACTTTGCTACCACTAGTGAGTGCATCTAATAATGAGAGTAGGGCAATGTTATAATGATAGGTAGAGAACTTTGCGAATATTGGTGGGTGGCATATAGATTGATTGAATGATTGAGTAGGCGTCGGGGGGACTTGTCGAAGTTCAGACTGCTAGACCGCTAGTGTGGGTCCATCGTGTCGCCCCGTAAGTGTGGCATCCTTGAGAAGAGTCCCGCTGCTCTGCCGAAAGCGACGATGTCATTAGCCGGAATGTTTGGCGCTTCTTCCATTGGAAAAGTAGTGTGCCCGAAAATCCGCCATCTGAGCTGTATCAGCGCAGTACATTCACATCTGATTCGGATGGGAGTTTCGTCGTTTTCGAGACATAAACGGCACGTTGGGTCATCGTAGACACCCAGAATATTCAGATATCTGTATCAGGAAACTGAGATTTTCAAGTAGAAATTTTACTCAGGAGAGATAAAATGGATTGTCGCTTTTGAGAAAAATAATAATCGAACATCTTATAAACGAGCGCTGGCGAAAACTTCAGCCTCGAAAACAGTGGCAAATTGTACAAGATGTTCAAACTCTTCGTAGTCTTGGTTCTGACCGTATACGCCTGCACCAGTGAGATTCCCAACACGAGACCCATCCGTGAACCAGATGAGCCTGGTGTTTGGAATTATGGTGGTGTGGTTCGGTTAGCCACTCTATCATGGAGGGTAAATGTGATAGAGGAGATAAATCCATGATGCAATGTGATGCGGTCTTGCACCATGGTTCTAACAAGACAGGCTAAGGTGGCTTCTGTCGAGATCTTGGCATGATCAGTGTTGCAGCATTGACCAGTCTAATGATTAGCGCAGTTTAATCTCTACGCCGCTTTCATAGCTTCGTGCTCGATCACTAAGTACAATGGTGGTAGCCCTACGAGTGCTCCAAAGGCTGCCGTGGGTGCTGTTCTCATTGCACTCGTAATGCCTACGCACGCGAGGCGTTGCATGTGCTCCAAAGACCGCTTAGTGCCCGTTTACCTGGTCCCTTGCCACCACACAATTGACGCTAACGTGAAAATAGGTCTTAACATAGTCGTGATGATCCAATGTAAGACTTTCGGTTGAAGGCCTCACGTGGTGCTGAAGACTCGCCTGCATACCCAGAATGCTGCAGTGGCCTTCCTTATGCGGGTGTCCAAATGTTCTCTCTATAGTAGTTTGGTGTCTCAAGGTACTCAACGCGAAGGAACAATAATTGCAGTCTTCACAGGGTTAGCTCCAAGGCCCGACCGTTCGCACCAGTGATATATGATATTGGGTGCTCGCTATACCGTGTGCTCGGAATGACCCTCGACAAAAACTGCGATGAGGAGATCGGACTCCCCCTTGAGGGTATCGTTTGCGTGCGACTACCGCCACCCCCTGAGTGCCTCGTTTTACTGGTTTGTGTAGCTGTGTAAGCATAGCCCATATCCATTTAACATTTCATGCTCGTGAGCAGCGTGACACATGGAATCGAAGGAGGCATTGTCAAACGCCCCTTCTATATCTAAGAATAAACCAAGACTGAACTGCTTACGATGTAATACTGTCTCAACCTCACTAACTAGGTGATGGAGGGGTGTCCTTAGATTTACCAGCCTGGTAGGCGAACCTTGTGAAGCCTGACTGCCTCGGGTAATCTGTTGATACCTTCACAGTAGCTTCTCCAGGAGTCTAGTTTGCCTTGCCTGACCTCTTTCTTGTAGTTCTTCTGGGATTCGTTGTATGCATCCCAGGCAGTCGTTGAGTTTTTGCTCCTGGCTTTGTTCAGGAGTCGTCTCGACGTTCTGCGGAGCTATTGAAGAGAAGCATTCCACCAGGGCGTCGACTCACTGCTGTTACCCTCCTTGAGAGGGCAGTTAGCTTCATGGAAGTCCACGATTGCCGCAGTCAAGTAGTTGACTGATGCATCAAAATCCTCCCGACGTCGTAACATGGTGAGAAGACCGTCGAGCTTGAGAGTGTTTCTTTGAAGAGATCCCAGTTGGTCGCTTTCGGGTTTCTGTATGTCACGGTTTCGTTCCCTTCGCTTCCAAGGGAGTATAAGATGTGTCGGTGATCTGAAAAATATGGTTCGTCAGAGACCGCCTTTCTACGGACCTACGGTACTATTGCAGTGAAACATAGCGTAAGGTCGATGACTTCCTCGACAGTTAGTTAGGAAGGTCGGCTCATTCCCCCTGTTGAGTATTCCGAGGTTGGTACCCGCGAGGAATTCCAGAAGCGCTCTGACATCAGATCTCCTCCAAACAGTGTGGTGGGAGTTGGCGTCAACGCCCACGAGGAAAGGCACACCTTGGGTATCACAGATTCTTACAAGCTCGGCCAACTGGGTAGTGGTTGAAGGATCTGGGTCGTCATAAGGAAGATAGGCAGAACACACCACCACATGTACAGGGCGGTTAAATCCCAATTTGACGTCGACTGCTACAAGGTCTCTTGTGCAGAAGCCTAGGAGCAAGATTGCTCCTGTGTTTCTGGAGAGGATGCAGGCCCGGGGTCGGTCAATGGAGTCACAAAAGTGCACTGTTTCTCCTCGAGGTCCAACCTCTACACCCGTTCCTGATCCAAGGTTCTTGGATCAGGCCAAGTGCGTGTTTAGGTCGACGCAGCCGAGCTGTGTTGAAGGTTCACCTGGATGGAATTTAGTCTCTACTCTGATCCACCGAGTCCTGATTACTCTGAAGTCTGCGGCCAGGAATCCCAATGTGGACCCTCGAGAGACGTGGCAGTTCCTGGACGGGAACCACAGCCAGTTCGACATCCTCCCATGGTCGGATGGTGCTAATGGTTTCTGTAAGCCACGCTAGGGAAGACTTGTCGGTTGCGGTGAAAACCAGATGACCCCTCACCAATCGCATTCGGAGCCTCGGTACGCGGACTTCTGTTTGGGGCCCTATACGACCAAGTCTCCAACTGCGTCCGAGAAATCAAGAACGTCGGACTGGCCAAATTCCTCCTCTGGTCTGCCAACTCTCATTATGACTAGCTGTCATTCGCTAGGCTCTAAGGTAGCCTTGAGATAGCTCGTGCCTGGGATGTCCTAGATCTTTTCAAGGTTTTGCCAGAGTCCTGAGGAGTGAAATCCGATCCTCTGTGTCGTTTGCCGCCTTGCTGGATGATAGAATCAGATGGAAGAGGACCTTCTAGCACCGGAGGTGCCAGGTTGACGTCCCTTAGCCCGAGTTCCATGTGGTTTAGTAGAGCTGCTGGCGTGTTGTCTCCCTCTGTCCCCAGCCTGCGGACCAGGGGCTCTAGTTTTGGCACTGGAGGTACCAGTAAGGGACCCCGCAGCCCTGCCAGCCAGAGGCAGAAAGGAAACCGATGCCCTCGGTAGACCAGACGGTGTAGTCGCAGTAGGACGATGTGCGGGTGGGTCATGTATGGAGGAAAAGACGGTCGCCACACGTGGAGCCCCCTGCGCGTGTGGAAGGCTAGATCAAAACTGGATGCGCCTGGTTTCCAGAGTGTTGCCGCTAATGGTGGAGTATTCCTCGACTATCCATCCATTCGGCGCGCGCAATACCTTGAGATTAGAAAAGGTGTTATAGTGTCCTCAACACGCAGTCCAGGCGGTCAAGCCAAGACCCCCGGGCCCCTTTTGGCGCATGTCACTGAACACGAGGTGTCTGGTGTGTCCTAGCACCACAAGCGATTTGCGGTTCGTACTACAAGCTGGTCTGAGGCGATAGCTTTTGCAAAAGATTTAAGGGGTTTTTACGCTCCTCCCGGTCGTTCACCATGGGACGCTCCTGATGGGTTGCTCAACCACACATAGCTGTAGTTATCCAGTTGGTCTCCAGGATTGTTGTCATGAAGAAAGGAAACATTTTGATTGAAATCCAATTTTACTCCCCATAATTTCCACCCTAGAAAGAAGGAACAAAAATTTCGAAGCAAAGATTTATTCATGAAATTCAAAAGATATCAAATGATTCACTATCAGAAAATACAGAAGGTTTCAGAGTAATTAATGAATACAATTTTTTTTTCTGTGAATTTTTGGAAGCAATGTATTTCGAAAATGAAGCAAGTTATAACAGATGCGTACATATAAAAAATATTAACCCGTGAAATCATTCGAATAATTTCATAACATGAACATTTTTGCTCACAATTCATTTCAAGACCACATTCTGAAGAGAAGGTGACAATCTGACAATTCTGAAGTTTTATTGGACCAAGAAGAAGGAAATAAAAATACATGAAATGAACACATCTTCATCATTTCACCAATCCTGATACAATAACTGAAGCTTTCAGATCTTCGATCAATGAAAGGACACAGAAGATGTTTCCATTTTTTTATAAAGGTCTCAATTCTATATTTGAATTCAGATTCAGATTTCGAATGCTGAATTGTATTCGTCCACCAACAAGGAGATTTTGACGAATCTAATTGCTCATGTAGTAATGAAAATGATGATGATGAAGATGATTATTTGTACGTAATCCTGAGATGATTTTTATACAAAAAATATTCATGAAATTGTGTCCGGAAATGCTTCGTTTTGGAGATATACGTCGTTGAAATCGAATTTTTGATGTCGTTATTTGAAAAATCTTTTTGTTCGAAATTCGGTACCCGAAGTTTTTTTGAGGTGAGAAATCAAAATGCCCAAACATTTCTGACAGCAAACTTCTCGCACTTTTCATGGTGAATCGCCTTCGCATATCTTTTTTCCGACGGATACACTTTCTCAACAACGCTAGAGGTGATCGTCTTCTAAATCGATGTATGTTGCCTAGCTCTAAGGGCGCTAAGTGAATTTGTTGGGAACATTACACTTTTTTCCGAAAAATGTTTATCGAAAAATTATACATATTGTAGAAATTTTTCAAGATATGGTTGGTTTTTGTCAGATGTTCTTTGCAACTGCAATATTGTCATCGAACAATTCATAGAAAAAAAGTTGTTCATTTTGACGTGATTTACAAATTCTTGATCTTTGTAATGTTCTCTGCAACTACACGAAAACGATATCCCCCAGCGTTGTTTCAAAAGTACATATTTTTCATAAAAAAGGTGTGGAAAAGAGTTTCCTTATGAAAAGTAACACAAGTTCACTGTCAATTTGCACAGCGTACGCCGCGCCCTCTACTTGCTACATGAAAATAAATACAAACATATGATTTTTCATTTTGAAAAAACAAGAATAGGTACCAAATTATATGCGAGAAAATCAATTTTTGAGAAAATTGGTAAAAAAACCTGAAACAAAAACTCAATTCAAGCACCCTTCATCTTCGAAACAAAGTATTCCCAGATACAAGTTTATTGACTCTTTTGTCTCAGAATTGTCCCAAGAATTCGTACTTATGGTTACATTCTGCCTACAGTGTGTGCAAATTGATTTCCCAATAACAAACTTCTAATTTGCAACCTGTTCACCAATTTTTTGTAACAAAAATTCCATGATACAATGCGAGCTCTCTCTGAAAGTGAAAATGTGGACGAAGAAATCTTCAGAACCTCAAGCCCTACAATTTTTCATCATGAATTTTCGTTCGAAGTTTTTTTTTTTATAGACCATAAATAGCTGATATAAAAAATCTGCGCCTTAAACATATTTTTAATCAAAATTTTTTGAGACTCTTAGACTAACGCAACATTGCTTCAATGAATCACAAAACAAAACTGCTCATACAACTCTTAACAGACTTACAAACTCTGTTGAAAACCATGAATACTACCAGAGTGTCAGGCAGGATTGCGCAAAACCAGAAGCTGTGATGAGAACATTTTCGTTTTATCTACAATATTGCAGTCTTCTTAGGTCGATGTCATTTATACGGATTCTTCAGAGGCTTTCGATAGGCTTGACCATGGTATACTTCTCAATAAACTAATTTCTTTTGGCTTGACCAACAACTTTATCTTATTTTTGGAATCCTATCTAATGGAGAGGCATAAGAGAGTTCAGTACCATGGATTAGAATCTGTCAAAATAACAGCATCATCTGGTGTCCCTCAAGGATCTGTGCTAGGCCCATTACTATTCATAATTTCTATAAATGACATATGCCTGGGCTTGGACTCGGAAATCCTCCTATACGCAGATGATTAAATTGTTTAGGCAGATATATTCTTTAGATGACTGTGACCGTCTTCATCGACAAGTTAAATCGATGGGGTATAAAACACTTTTAAAACACTGGGTTTCACTATCAGAAACTCCAAATGGTTGTTTGGAATTGAAATCTACTTACTCCTATTTGATGGGCTTGTGATGTCAAGGTTTGAATATGGCTGCGTTGTCTGGAATCCTGGATACATCACGTATAGTGAGAGTTTGGAGAACATTCAGAGGCGATGTCTGAAGTACATCAGTTTCAAATGTGATGGCTCTTATCCGATGTGGGGTGTACCGCACGATACACTTCTTTCTAGATTTTAAGTCAACTCCCTAGAAGAACGTGGTACATATTTGGGAATTTTATTTTTACACAAGATCTTAGTCTGGCGTATTGACTGCCCATACCTGCTTGCACGTATTAATTTGCACGTTCCTAGGCTACCTGTACGCAGTTTCACCACGTTTCACCTGCCAGTCGCTCAAAAAATGTTCTTCTTTTTTCGCCTTTGTATAAAATATGTCGTGATTATTTGTCAATTCAGAATAGAATAGATATTTCTTCCTGCAAACCTATAGACATCAAAAGGGCTAGTTTACCATAATATGTTATATATTTGTTGTTGTTGTTTTAACACCGTTTGTAGCGCTGTGTATAAACTTTCTTCTCACCGTAGTTTTTTTCAGTTCATACACATCGTTATGCAGTGTGTCATTTATTTTATGTTCATATGCATATTTCCTCCTCTCTGTTTTGTTTTTTGATACAATATCCACACAGATTTCGGACCAAAATTGTTATTTTCCCATTCTGTAATTGGCCTCGGCTGTTGAATTAGTGTACCGCTAAAATAAAATAAAAAAAAATTAACAACCTAGGTCTCCCAAACAGAAAACTGTTCGCGCTTTTTGTAGATTTCAGAAGAGCATTCGACACGCTGGGAAACAGTGTGCTGTGGAAATAATTATCTGCTAATGGTATATGCGCAAAAATCGTTAGAATTCTGGAATTATTGTAAAACTCAGCGACCCTGTCTATTGAAAAAAAAAATACTGACATGTCAAAAAGAATCAAGATTAACAAAGGGGTTCTACAAGGAGATACTTCAAGTCCAATGATTTTCTCATTATTCATCTCTTATATTACACCACTCTAGAAAAAATGGTGTCGAAGGGGTAGCTCTAGATGATGGCGGAAATATTAACATGCTATGACCTGGTACTTTTTGCCATCTGCCCTACTGTGATCTAGATTTCAATATTAAAGATATCAATCGAACCACGAAATGAACCAAATAAACCTGTTACTGATCCAAAGATTCCCGAGAAGCTCAAAATAAGATACTGCTCAGTATTCATAACCCTACCTCTGAGTTCTTTCTACAGAATGAATTTGATAATGATTTTCACTCATGCTACGCAGGCCCAATACATATTGAGAAAATTGTAGCTCAGCTCCGAACATCCAACACTGAAAAACTATATATACAGTGCTTTTCTTTAATGTATTAGGAAATCTACAATTGAATCGATTTCTTCAGAAAATGAAGAAATATATCCAGGAGTTGGAGAAATTGAAATATAAATTATTCAAACTAAGATAGATACTGAGGAAGGAAGCAAGGATGCAAAGTATCAATGAAACTAAGAGCCATAATAAAAAGATAAAGTTACAACGTTCGACTCAGCAGGAGGAGAAACACCAATTTGTATCAGAATCAATTGAGGAACAAATTCCAAGTGATATCGGCGCTCAGAACCTATAAATTCAAATGGAGAAAAATATA